ACTTTTGGTTTGATTTTCTATTGTAATCTGATTGGCTAGTTCGTAATTTGACATAAGATTAACAACTTCTTCGATTTGGGTGCTCGGGCAGTATCCCAGCCCTCATACAAATTGAATGATTTATGTAGCGCATATAAATTTGGTGTCCTCTTGTACTAATGTTTATGTGTTCAAATAAATAAATAGAACACTTATCACATTCCCCCCAAGATGTCTTGTTGTTGTGACTTTTACTTGATTGATAATCACATGATAAGATTACCAATCAGAATACGGTTAATACAATTTTAATACTGTGCGAAACCAATGACGTATTGACCGGTACGAGCAGCCTAGAATCCTTATCGATCCTTCTCGTCTAGCTCTGCCTATTGAGTCCGGAACATCAATATCAGCTTCCACTATATGAATTCTATATCTCAGATATACTTGGTTTATATACAAGTAAACCAGACCACATCATTACCATGAAAGAGCTGAAAATTGGCTGAGTGTGAGAGACCAACTAATAAATTGGGAATAACTTAAGAATAGTAAATCTCATGATAGTAGTCAAGAGATCAAATAAAAGCTCATAAAAGAAATATAAATATACATAATCTAGTTACTTAACGATTACACAAAAAGAGTATATATATATATATATATATATATATATATATATATATATATATGATAACAGTCCATAAGTAGTTCCCAGAAGTTACCCCTAGTTTAATCTTCGTTATGATATAACACTTATGTAATATAGTCAACGTATTTTTAGCTCAAAATCTAAGTGAATATTGATCTTTCAATCTCAGATTCTTGATTAATCTAATAACAAGGTATTTCATATTCAGTTCGAATAAGATTACTTACTGTTACCCCTCGTGGAGGAGCATAGACCGCCCACCAGCACTCTCCATCCAAACCTATCCTCGGCAAACCTTTCAAGATATTTCTATTTAACATTCATCCTTTTCATATCTGCCTTTATTTCCCGGAGTATTACGTTCTTTGACCTCCCTCTTTTCCACTTCCCTTCATTCCAAGTTAGGGATTGCCTCGTGATGCAGTTTGGTGATTTCTTCGATGTATGTCCTATCCACTTCCAACGTCTTTTCCCAATTTTCTCTTCAGCTGGAAGCTGGTTTGTCATCTCCCATAAAACCCTGTTGCTGATAGTATCCGACCATTGAATGTTGAGTATTTTGCGGAAACAATTGTTTATAAATACTTGTACCTTCTTGACGATGAATGTAGTAGTTCTCCACGTTTCTGCTTGGTACAGTAGGACTGTCTTGACGTTCGTATTAAAGATTCTAACTTTGAAGTTGGTTGACAGTTTTTTTCAGTTCCATAGGTCTGTGTGGGCTGCTTCGATGTTCAGTGAATTCAATAGAGCTGGTCTATTCACCAGTTCCTCGAAGTATTCTGCCCATCTTTTCCTCTGTTCTTGACTCTGCGTGATTGTCTTTCCTTCTTTGTCTTTGACTGGTCTCTCTGGTTTGCTATATCTCCCTGCCAGTTTCTTCGTTGTATCATTTAGTTGTTTCATATTCCATCGAATAAGATTGACAACATAATATTAGAGTTAAGATATACAAGACAAAAAGGGGTATAATTAAACGAAATACATACATAAATAATAACTGGTAGACTGAATGTGAAAATGTGTTCTAAAGTCATGAAAAAGTGTGTAAATTTCAGTCGAAATAATAGGAAAGCAGCCATCAAACTTGATTCTCCTTGAACAAGGAAAGTTGGATGTTATTGGCTTGATACATCTGCTAAGTATCTGATCAGTGAGGAAGGCAGATAGGTGATCTAAAGTTTAAATGCTCGATACTAAACATAGCTGTTTTTGTTGCGCACTATCTCTGTTGAATTTTCGACTAAAATAAAATGGTTCTTCACTTCTCCTTGCTTTAAATTATTGTTCAGCGGATATTGATTTTAAACAGTATTGTTTTGTCCCAATAACAATAGTGAATGGTAACTTTGGCATCCATTTATGGACCAGTATTATGCGTATATTTATCATCGTATAATTGCTAAATAAATAAACTATTCATAATCATGCTCCCCTTATTATAATCTTTATTTTGACTTATAGACTATTATTGTACGATTTACCATTCTTGAGTTATCCCTAGTCTATTAATTTCTGCCTACCACATTCACAGCCACATTTGGCTAAATCTTGTACAAATGTTATTTTCTATTTTATTGGTACAATGTGGTCAGTCTGTTTGGTATATAAACTCAGTATGTTTGAAATACAATGATTCATAGCACAGAGGCAGTTATCGGTGTCTTGAACTTAACTGGCTGGGTTAGGCAGAAGCATCACAGATAAGCATTCTAGACTGCTCGTACGGTTTTCGTGTCACTGTCCCAATCAATAATTCGCTGCTCTCTGATTGGCGGTCTTATCACTTCAGACGTTAACTGTGCATCCACTCAGCCACAAGATATGACAAGCATCTTCTAAACTTCTTCTGATTTTGTCAGTAAACCTTTTGTTAATGTTGAATAATCGTATATTTATTACTGATAGAATCCACGCTAGCTGGATTTTCAAAGAATAGTTCTCTTCTCTGCTTTTCACCTGAAAACGTACTTCCTTTTCAAACTATCAGTAGAATGGCATCCGACTATGGACGAGCATCATTTTTTCAACCATTTAATGTTATTTTAACCAACCCTTTTGATATGAACAAAATCTTTAATTCCAAAATATTGATTAACTCCTGGCTTATGTCTTATATTCTTAAAATGTCAAAGTTCTTGGCAATCGGATTGTAAAAACATCTATCCAACTTAAATGGATCGTTTTTAGCTGCTAATTTCATTTTCCTCCTTAAATTATACTGGAAATATAGTTACATGTAAATAATAACAGTAATTGAGCTCTGCCTGAAGACTGGATAGGACATATATTGCGGAAATCATCAAAATACTTCTAGAGGTAAGCCCTAACTTTGAAAAAGAAAACGAGGAAAACCAAAAGACACATTTCATTGAGAATCGGAAGCAAAAATTAAAGGGATGAATAGCAACTAGAAAAGATTGCCGAGGATGGAGTTGGATTAAGAATCCTGTTCGGCTTCCACGAGGAGTAATAGGCGTAAATAAGTAGTGAGTAAGTCTGCGTGAAGTGGTTGTGAATACTAATTTTTGAAAATATTCACACAAAGAAGACAAGATAGCTTGCTACTCAGTGCTTTCTACATTTCATTTGTTATCTATCTGGATGAAAAATATCTGAAAAGCTGATTGACGAAGTACAAAGCGTAAGCTGGCTAGAAGGTATAACTGGATTCTTATCATTTTATTATTTTTATCAGCGATGCTTTTTAACGAACTATAAACATCTGCATATACACATGTAGACTGATACATTCATACAAGTTTACACATTTAACATCTTGGATGCTTTTATCCCATATATCCGAATATTTATAATAAAGTATACTTCAGTTATTTTTTTAGTAAATGCAACCTGTCGTTACCCTGTCATCGTTTCTAACCCCCCTACCGCACATATATACTTTTACCTATTCAAGTCATTTGACAATAACATGCTTTAATAAATACAAAAAATCACCTGTATATTCTGCAAGATGCAAAACTCGTTTCACTGATTAAAATACCTATCTTCATAAACATATTTATTATCGTGGGGTGAAGGGAGTTTGAGGGAAGTCTTGTCGTAAATTAATAATGCATCGGTCATAATTGACGCCTAAATGGTTGTTCCATATTCTATATGTTGACCTTTGATTGATGATTTGTTATTTGACTGTACTGCCGTACTGTTTTAATGGAATATTTTATGAATCATATCTTTAATTCCCAAATCTATTTATTGGATAACGATTTCATTTAAATGTTATCTCTATAGTGTGAAGGCAAAGAGTTTATCGCGAACCTTGATAGTCATTAATGTGACTCAAGGTGAGTTCATAGGTGCAAACTTCAGGGGAATCCCATGCTAGACTGAAAAATATCTTCAGTGCTTCCTAGTATTTAACGTTTCTCTAATTAAGGTCAGTCCATGATATTTAGTTAGTAAGCATCATTCTAATCCAATTAAATGAATTCAATTCTCTTCAATAATTATAAGCATAATAATCAAATCAACTAATGGTTTTCGAATTTTTTTATATTATTCAATTAAAATTACTACTTTGAAATTACTAATATATTTCCCCTTTATTAAGTTCATTCCTTTCTATCAAGAAGCAGTGACCAGTGGAGTTCAACCAGGTCTGTTATCAGATAACAACTCACTGAAGACATTGGTGGATGTGTCTCTCAATTTCGTGGATTGGTTGAGGTTAGACATTAACACCGTTGGATACCAACCGGCTCAGTGGTCTAGAGGTTAAGCGCTTGCGAGTGAGACTGATAGGTCCTGGATTCGAATCTTGCGAGGTGGGATCATGGTTGCGTACCGTTGATGAGTCCCACAATAGGACGATAATAGGCCGTCCAGTGCTTCCAGGTTTTCCATGCTGATCTAGCTTCAAATGATTCATGAACTCAACTATTAAAACTATCATAATATCTACAAAACCCCTTCTGATAAATAAGAAACAACATTATTATTATTATTCTCTTACTGACCCATAGTTTGGAATGTCTGACCTAATTAATTCATTTATTATTCAACAAATCACCATATCATTCAACACTAAAACCAAGCTCACATCTACTAACACATACATACACACACACACACTCACTTACATACATACACAAAACTATGCACCAATACTAACATAAAGTTAAATAAATCTCTATTTATTATTTATATTTGAGCATATATTGAACTATGTTACTATGCATACAAATCTACACAAAAAAAAGACAAATATGTGTGCTGTTTTTTGTTTGTTTGTATGTTATCAAATCACTGGTTGATTAATCAATAAATTACATCTCTCTTTTTTTTGTTCTTGTTCTTCTTCTTCTCAACTTATCAACTACACACAATGTGATAAAAAAAAGGTTTAATTTATTGTATCATATATACATATACATATACATATGTATATGTATATAGTGTGTGTGTGTGTGAGAGAGAGAGAGAGAGAAGGAGAGCAAGGTAGTAGTAACTGTGACAATAATGATTAGACTGTATTAAGGGTACCTTTTATTCGTTTTCATCACCCTTCTTCTTTGTTTATTTATTTATTGAATGTATTAACTGTATACAAAAAAAAATTATGGAATATCTTGAACAATTTACAGTAATTGATAAAAATAGAGATGGAATTATATCAAGAAGGGATTTATTTAAATATGCATTAAGTATTGGTGAAGATTTATCTATGGTTGATGTAAGTGAAGAAGATATTGAGATTAATTAATTATTTATTTATTTTATATGTATATATTTAAGAGGTGATTCTTTGAAATGTTTCAATGTATTTTGTAATGATTGATAGGTTCTGAGTTGGAATCTCGCGAGTGAAGAATCGTGGATGCACACTACTGAGGAGTCCCATAATAGGACGAAACAACCGTTCAGTGATTCAAAGTTTTCCATGGTGATCTAACTTCAATTGACTCATGATCTGAACTGCATAAAATTCGTAAAATCGCCACAAAACCTCTTCTGTTAATAATCATATGCTCACTAGTAACTGACTTCAAGAGATATTTCCTAGAGTTCTAGTGAGAAGCAGTGGCCAGTGGAGTTCAATCAGGTCTGTTGTCAGATAGCAATTCACTGAAGACAATTGGTGAACGGTTGCTCAACTTCGTGGATTGGTTAAAGCTAGACATTAACACTTTTGGATGCTGGCCGGCTCAGTGGTCCAGTGGTTAAGCGCTCGCGAGCGAAACTGTTAGGTTATGGGTTGGAATCTCGCGAGTGCGGAATCGTGTATGTGCACTACTGAGGAGTCCCACAATAGGACGAAACAGCCGTCCATTGCTTTTAGGTTTTCCATGGTGGTCTAGCTCCAATTGACTCATGATTTCAACTATATAAAATTAATAATAATATATTTAGTTTGTTCAACAAATATGTAAAGTAGAATTTATGGATAACTTTAGAATGATAGAATAAAAGAGTCTTGAGAAAATATACCTTACCTATTAAGGTCAAAAATTAATGTGAGGAGTTAGGAATAGATCTTAGAACTAGATGTTAAGGTTAGAAATTAAAGTAAATGTTATCATTAGAATCTAATAACAGCTACAATGTCCAAATAGTATCTAGCCATTTGGATGAATGAATTTCGTGTTGAAATCAAAGAATTTCTATTTTAAATCTCAATATTATGTCCATAAATTATAGTTTCACCACCTTATCAACTTCAAAGCCATCATGGAAACGATTAAGTCAGCTGGAGGAGCTGTTTTCTTTGAAGTGTAATCTTCATAATAACCATTCAAAATTCTGTGAGACCATGACTTTAATTTGTCATGCGCATTACTTTAACCTCAATCAATAAGATTGTATGATATAAGTTATTCCGAAATTTAAATATTGTTAACATTTTACTACCTTCAAATCGACTACAACTGATTAATATAAATAAATGGGATAGATTTCTAACACTAGATGATCACCAAATAGGAGGTAAAATCGTATTCTATAGCGTTAATAATTGAATTTTATCGATTAAGTTGTAATCTAACCATTAGAGTAACTAAATCAACAGTGCATAAACTGTGTTGTGATGTTAAGCGGTCGGAAGATAAATCTGGACCTTGACTTCGTCCTAGATGACACTTGTCAGTTAGGCGTACATATACTCTTGAGGTAACTTGTACTTCCTGTAGGATCCGAACCCACGTCACTCAGCAGTAGTTCCCTCAAGATGATATGTACACCTTACTAACGAGTGTTGAATAACACGTAACTTATGTTCAGAGTTTCCTCCCGACCATCTAATCTCAAAACATGATGAGTTATGTTTAATGTTTTATAATCGAAGATAAGTGTTCTGGTTTTCCTGCTAGTTGTTACCTACCACTGACAAATAACCTGATCTCACAAATTTGTTCATAAAATTTTCTATTATATCATTAAATATTATCAATGTGACTTAACAAAGTGGTAAAACCATAGCACACTGACGGCCTTGAGTTAGCCAATCATAATTAAGATAACACCTTATGTATTTTGCATAAGACGTTAAGTCCAATGCTGCATAATTTATATGTCAATACTGACATGCTGCTTTAGTTAAACTGCAAAACATACTTGCTCTTAAAACATAATCTGTTTTAAAGTGTTCAATGTAGTTAAATGGCATGATCAAGAGTGTTTAGTGAAGGTAGTTAACATTCTACCTATCTAATGTTTCCTTTAAACCTCAACAAAATGTTCGTCAAATTCGTAACAGAAAGAGGAAACAGTGCATCGAAGTTGATGTCAGTTCGTGATGAAAAATCTCAACCCTAATTCATAAATCACTCTCAAAACTCCAGTTTTACCCTTCATACCTAACCCCATAGCTTTTTTGCATTATAAATGATGACAGTTGGTGATAAGAACTCTATGAGGTAGGCCGAGTGGATAAAGCGATGGCGTTTGAAGCGAACGGTACTGGGTTCGAGTCCCAGAGTGAGATGCAGGTACATCCAGCTGACGAGTCCCAAATAGGACGAAGTGGCGCGCGTCCTGGATTCCACTGCTAGCCACTATCCATCTTTGCTTATAAAAATAAGTGTTCTCACCTTTAAAAAATTTAAGGATTTTTGTTTGACAAGAGTCAAAAAATACTTCAATAACTTTCTAAACAATCTCAAACACCTAATATAACTATCATTCAACTAAAAGGTTACGAAAGAAGGCAAATAATATGATAGAATAAGAGACTATACATGTTATAAGCAGAGGTTGGCCTTAAATCTGTGAATTGCTTAAGCCTCTCGACAATTCGCCATGTTCAGGAGAATAAAACGCTTTCCAGAATTTTTATTATAATTAATCCTGAGAGTTGCCTACACTAATAAAATTGGTTCTCTTTATTACCATGGAATTTAAAGAAAATATTTCAAATGAGGCCCTAAAATCATACATTTTAGTTGGCATCAATGTTTATTTATATGTTTACTTGCTTCTACGGAGTTGATGACATTGTCTACGAAAAGCAAGCTCTCCTGAAACATATCTCTGACTAATATCCTATCTGATTGTCAGATAGAATAAGAAAGTCAATATAATTGTTCAATTCTGGTTACTTTACTTTTCCAGGATGACATTCCAAAAATACACACAGTAAAAATAAAAAAAATAGTGCGAATACATAACTCAACTATTAAAGCTTGAAATACGTAAACAGAAGTAGTATGTCCTATCATTCATCATACTATGATTATAATCTTCTACGTAATTCTTTATAGTTATTAATTACTCGTCATTATCACTAAGCTATTCTCTCATATTACCTTTTCATCCACAATTGATTGATCACTGGGTGGTGATCAATGTCATGCGTGTCAAGTCCTTCTTAGTGCTGATCGAATGCTATCGATCAAGTCACAATGTGGTCACTAGTCTAGGTGGCTCGACATTGCGTGCACTATGTTGAGATAAGATGGTGGTTGGGGGTGGCGGTCAGTTGCGGCCCGAGTAGCCCAGTGGTAACGTCTCTTACTGTAAAGCTGAATGACACGGGATCGAATCCATCAGGGAGAACCAGTTCCCTCAAGATTACAGACAGACCTTGCTGACGAGTGCCAAGTAGCACGAAACCCGGGTCCAGAGTTTACTGTTGACCACCTCCAACCACCATTTTACCTTTTCTTTTCCTAAGATACATCAAGTGGACAATTTTCTTCTCATATTTTGATTTATAAACTATTTTCAAAGTTTACTGTTTATCTGTAACCCATAATTTAGTACATAGGATTGTATGAGAATATGTTGAATAAAAACTGCGATATTTTATATTTGTCGTTCACTTAGTTGATAAGTTCTCCATAGAAGAGCATAATTTTCATTAGGAACTTCATTTTAATTGTCTAATGGTATCTATATATGTTTAGTGTGATCACACTACTGTAACACATTCCAAATTGTAGGATCAGAACGAAAATAAATTGAAATTTTGAGCTTGGATTCAGTGAAAATTATGCTCTTAGATTGAGTATTCATTCACTAAATGAAAGTAAAAATGTTAGATATTGTACATGTATTGAATATTGAGAAGTACATTTACAGATATGTATCCTATCTCCACAACTTCCTTGTGAAACTTCAAAGTTTCGACGATTTTATAATGTAGTCCCTTTCGATGTTTCAGTAGATAAATAAATCTGTTAAGATCAGAAGGGGTTTTGTGGACATTTCAGTATTTTCATAGTTGAAATCATCAGTCAATTGAAGCTAGACCACCATGGAAAACCTGGAAGAACTGGACGGCTGTTTCGTCCTATCGTGGAACTCCTCAGTAGTGCGCATCCACGATCCCGCCTCGTGAGATTCGAACCCAGGACCTACCAGTCTAGCGCCAGAGCACTTAACAGACCTGGATCGTGAATGCGCATTGCTAAGGAGTCCCATAATAGGACGAAACGACCATCCAGTGCTCCCAGGTTTTCCCTGGTGATCTAGCTTCAATTGACCCATGATTTCAACTATTAAAATGAATCTGTTAAGTAAATATTTATACAATTGAAAAGCTTCAGTAAACGACATCACCAAAAATTGTTTTCACTGGATCGTCTTTGCTTTTTGTTTATCTATTCGAGATAAATGCTTAACTATTTATAATGAGATGTCAATATTATTACTGAATTTTTCTATTGTGACTTGCGATGCTAATCTAAATCTCATGGTACATTAACCACACAGGAATCTGACTATTGATGAATTCACTTTATAGTAACAGAACCGGTGAACTTCCATTTCACAAGTCTATCCATGGGTCAGTGATCTAGATTAGACAACCATTGAAAATCTGGAAAATGGTTGTGAATGTGCACTGTTAAGGATTAGTCTTCCAGTGCTTCCAGACTTTCAGTGGTTATCTAACTTTGATCTATTGATGATCTTAATACAGTTCAGTTAATTAAACAGAATAAATACCTTAAGAAAGCTGTTTAATAAACATTTAAAAAATGTATATACACTAATTTTACCAAAGAATAATTAGCCAAGTGTCATATCTACCATTTTCTTTCTTCAACTTAATGATTCATAGTTTAGGATAAGTATATTTTATCAGATTTGAATGTTACACACCATTTTGATGAAGAATAGACAGTAAATTTTCTTGTATAAGTGTTCTTGGCATACTTAATTACTTACGCCTGTTACCCCTCGTCGAGGAGCATAGGCCGCTCACCAGCATTCTCCATCCAAACCTATCCTCGGCAA